CTACCTCAGGATGCTTTCATGTAAATATGACCAATTATGGCTTTGCTGTTCTTGAAAAGAAGATTTTTAAAGATTTTTCCTATATATTCCTATGTTAAACTTTGATCGCCCATTGTGGCTCCACCCGACCCTCGGGGGTCATGATCTGAACAAACTTGAATCTACACTTCCTGAAGATAATACCATATAAATATGACCAATCATGGCTTTGCTGTTCTTGAAAAGAAGATTTTTAAAGATTCTTCCTATATATTCCTATGTAAAACTTTGATCGCCCATTGCGGCCCCACCTGACCCCCGGGGGTCATGATTTGAATAAACTTGAATGTACATTATCTGAGGATGCTTCCACATAAGTTTCATATTTTCAAGCACAGTGGTTCTTGAGAAGAAGATTTTTTAATGATGCCATTAATTTTTCATGAATTCATAATAATCTCCCCTTGGAAGAAGGCGTGTCCCTTCATTTGAAAAAATTTAAATCCCCTTTACCCAAGGATACTTTGTGGCAAGTTTGGTTGAAATTGGCCTAGTGGTTCTGGAGAAGAAATCGAAAATGTGAAAAGTTTACAGACGGACAGACAGACGGACTACTGACAAAATGTGATCAGAAAAGCTCACTTGAGCCTTCGGCTCAGGTGAGCTAAAAATATGAAAGTGAGAGAGGGCCTAACTAAGGGTTTAATTATCAATTCATAATGGAAGTAAACAAGCTTGAAAGACACACAATTCAATCTTAGAACATGTACCTGGTATTTCTCAAATTTTAATTTTACAGTGTATGTAGGTGTCAACCTTTCATCGACTACTTCTGTATATAATATTGAAGGGTTTTAATTTGTAAGACAGAGTGAATTAAAGTTATACATGTATTTATTTATGTGTATTTAACACATCACCATAAATGTGATGACGCAGAATGGTCTACAAACAAACAAACTTATTTTGTGTGATCTCATAAACTACATGTGTCTTCCTTCTGTGGCCAAACATGTATAAAATTTGAAAGCTAAGGATATTATAAAGAAAACTAATATTGTTGACTGAGTTATATCCCATTCCCATATAAATGTTCAATGAAATCGATTCATAGTGATTGGACCCTTACAACTATAGTTGTCTTTCTGTAATGGACAATTCCTCTGTGTAACATTTTTTTTTAAGTAATGAGGTAAATCAAAGATTGTTGAACAGATGGAATTCATTAAGATATGATTAATATATTTTATTAATATTTAGTCATGCAATCAGTAAGAATAAATACCTGTTGGCTCTCTATTCCCTTAGGAATACACCAGGGCTAGAGCACAGTCCTGAAGTTAGCTTAGAGTACATTGATCAATCTCAGCTTTACACTAGCTGGCATTATGACAAAGGAGGGGACACAACTCAGATGTCTCAACCTGCAACACACAAATTATTTGAAGTGACCTGTTTTACACTATATCAGAGATAAAAAAAATCTCCCAGTCATGGTTACTTTATGGGAGGTATACTCAATGAATTGTGCCATAGTCACTGAAACTGCTTTCTGTCAATACCAAACAGCCAATTTCTGGCATAAAATTATTTACACCTTTTGCATTTAAATAAAATTAAATGAAAAGTGATTTGGAATATTACTGGTATGTACCCTAAATGACTGCACTGAACTGTAAACTTTGCTTAATTTCAGAAATATTTGATTTCAAAAATATAAAAAAAAATTCTGAGGAATTGTCAGAGAATGTACATGTACCATGATAGATTAATTTTGCTGGGAAATGAAAACAAAGACCAAAGGGCAAGGATTTTATTTTACAAACTAGATGTGTGTGGTAACACCACAAATGCACCCGCAGACAGCCAAAATTTCAAATTGTAAATTGCACATTTGTAGCCAAGATAATGATTAGAAATTGAGAATTTTTAAATCTTTTCCAAGTTCAAGGGGGATAACAGTCAATACCATGACCAAATTCAAACTTGACCTGCATATTCCTATGACGTATCCATATATCAAATTTGAGTTCAATGTGTACAACTGTTGCCGAGATAATGAACGGAAATTCAATGATGATGGAATGACAGAATGGAACAGGGTAACACTATATGCCCCCCCCCCCCATTTTATGGCGGGGGCATAAAAATTCTGAAGATTAAGGGGTACCTATATTCTCCTACATTTCAGATGACAAGGAAAGTATTTCTATTCTGCTAAGGCAAATTTTCAAACTTCTAAAAAAAAAAACAAGTTCAAGCTATAGATTTCCAAAAAAGAAGTGTTGCAATTATGACTTGGCAATCCATTATTATAATTTTTATTTCCATTTCACACAATAGAATTTGCATCAAAATCAAAGAATGTCTTGATCCCTTTCCTTTAGTGAGAGCAGAGAAAATTAAAATTAGACCCAACTAGATCGCAATGTGTAGCAATCTTGTTGGAGCGGAATAAAGATCTAATTTTAGTTAGACTGAATTTATTAAAATTTGTTATTTTTTGTGCGATTTATTGAAGGATAATGACTAGCGCATATTATTGACCTTTGCAATCAATCAGAGTTCAGCTTATTGTATAAAAGACAAGAGACAAAATGTACATAATTAAACCACAGGTGCTTCAAGGGAACAGGAACACAACCCACCCCAACCCTCTAAAATTTTGGGCTTCCCGAGTTATTTTTTTATTTATTTTTTTAAGCATATATGTTGATGTACAGTGCACTATAAAAATTTACAATTAATGCATTAATAAGCTATGTATAAAAATATACCAATGATATAAATAGAGAGGTTATTTATTTTTTTTTGGGGGGGGGATACATCAGATACCAGAGACATCAATTGTGGATTTTTATAGTGCATTATACATCAACAAATGCTTTTAAAAATCATGAAACATAATTCAGAGAGCCATTAATGTTTTTTGGAGAAGTTGCTACCACCCCCCCCCCTTCGCCTTTTGAAATCGTTGCAACGGGCCTGATGGGGGGGGGGGGGGGTCCTGTCCCCAAGCACCTGTGCATTAAACCATGAATATCAGAACCTAATGGGGCTAATTGTAGAATTGCTGGTGGTTAGCTGGGAGCAAATCTCCCCACTTTTTTCCCACAAAACAACATTAATTACGCCTAATAAAGTTCACTGTTCAACGGAATAGACCCCCACCCGATTTCTCCAACTTGATTTCGACGAGGACGTTAATTAAAGTAGTCTTTGAATTTGACCTTTTTTACAATATAACTTAAATAAATATGGCAAGTAACTCAGTGTTGTCTAGATTTAAAATTAGAAACAGTTGATTATTTCAAAAGCTGAGAAAATTCGGTCCATCGCAGTTGAGATTATTGCTAGCCTACTTTCGTTTTCCTGAATATAAAGACTTTAGCATGTTTATCAACAAAGTAGTCATTATCCTTTTGTTGTTTCAAACAAGAGATTTAGCATTTCTTTCTAAATACTTCATTCTGGGATTGGGCATGCTGAATCTATTCCAGAGGCAGAGATCTACCGTATAATATATGATCATCAAACATTACACTTCCTGCCATGTGGTGTCTAGCCTCGATTTCGTATTATAAGGGAGGAATAATTATTTCATTTTAAGGATAACTTAAAAAGAGATATCTCTTTCATTAAGAGAGATATCTCTTTAACTAAGAAAGATATCTCTTTTTGAAAATCTAAAGAGATATCTCTCTAACTTAGAAAGATATCTCTTTTAACGTTGTTAAAGAGATATCTCTCTAACTTTAAGAGATATCTCTCTCGCTTTAAGAGATATCTTTCTAGCTTAAAAAGATATCTCTCTAAGTAAAAGAGATATCTCTCTTGCAAAAAGAGATATCTCTTTTGTTTATAGAGATATCTCTCTAGGTTATAAAGATATCTCTCTTAGTCAAAGAGATATCTCTCTTGGTCAAAGAGATATCTCTTTTAGTTAAAGAGATATCTCTATAAGCTATAGAGATATCTCTCTAAGCTAAAGAGATATCTCTCTTATTGAAAGAAAAAAATATTTTACGAATAAATAGTAAAAGGGCTTGCCATAGACCTCAGATTAAGAAATTAAAATTATTATAAGTGATATGGATTTATATTTATAATAACCACATAAACCGTCTTCCGCACTTAAAAAAATATTTTTTTTTTTGAACGAAAAGAAGCCAAAGAAAGTGTCGATGTAGGATAGATCAACTGATTTTTTCCATTTCTAATAAACAGAAGAAGGACATTACTATGTAAAACATTCAAACAGGTTTCTACAAGATTCACAGATGTTTGGTTGAATTCATATATTACGGGGAATTCCTGGCGCAAATTAAAGGGGGTATTTCTGAAGATTTCTTTACAGAATGCATATTTTTCCCAGCGAAGTGGTGTAGAACGAATCAGCATAACCATCTTAATTGTAAATAACGTTTTTAATAATATTTTGCAGATTTTAATAATATTTTGCAGATTTAAATTAAAAAAATATCCATAAATCTATATAATTAGATAACCGTGATAGTACAGTATCATTAAGGGTTCTTTTCTGCACATGCGAGGAAAGTATATATGTGTATTTTGTTGTTCAGAATCGCTCTACCATGAAGAATAGTCTCTGTAAAGATTTTTTGTTAAAATACCCCTTGATCTTGAACTTGTTTGTACTGTACTAGGGAAACCCCCTGTTGAGACAGGCATGACTTTACTTTATTACTCATCTACCCTGTATGTTTACGCGCGTAAGGTACACGGCCTTCACATGTACAGTGCGTTTAAATTATTGATTACCATGAAAATAAGATCAGAAGTACAAACTAAACTTAACTGGAAATTCGGTTAACCCTATACACTTTCAGAACCAGCGCGATATCAGTTTTGGAAAAACACATTTTTTGTGTAACCCAATCATGCCAACAGCAAAAGATAGTACCAAAAAAAATATGCCATGTGCATATAATTTGCATTCAATTATAAGATATGTAGGTCATATCTGTTTATAAACAATATAATGTGCGCGCATTTCCAGATGTTTTTTTAAAATCAGTCAGTGTTACAAGAAATACAACTGCACTTTTATTTTCTCTTTGTACAATGGATTTGGAGCATTTTAATCGACAATGTCTGGGAATATAGATGCTGATATTTTAGACCGAGAAGATGAGGGGGAGCCCTTGCAAGTGGAGATTAATCAAAACAAAACGAAAGCTGAATCAGAAGTACATTTAGACTGTGTTGAAAATTTGACAATAAAAGCAAGTGTCGACAAAGAGGCGGGAACAATTAATAAAAATGAAAAAGTTTCATTTCTATCCCTTGATTTCAACAGTTTAAAATCGTGTTGTGTGTTACTTTGCAGGCGGAAGTGCCCAGGGTGTGTTAAATATTGTCAGTACATCAAGTTGACAATTTCACTATCTGTCAACGTTGTGCTTGTTGCGTTGATCGTTTTTGTTGTATTTAGAAATGAAATCGATGATTCCTCGAATAATTCATCACACATTTCGTTGTCCCAAGCAAATAAGTTTGGACAGGGATGCAGAATTCGAAAAGACAGTGTTTGCGTTAGCTGCCAAACTGAACAAAAAAGATACAGATTGTCAGGGTATCACCTGTCGGGTTCAAGTCAGATCTGTTGTAAAGAAAACTCGGAATCCCTGAAGATCCTTGCGGGTCTGGTAAGTCAGTAAATTATCTCCTGGTCCATAACAGGAAAACTTTTAATGCTTTTGTAAAATAATCGATATCCTACTATTGGTTAACTATATCTTCTTACATGCTATTGTGGAAATACTATATATTTTAAATGACCTACGCCATCTTTTGATTCACAAGATCGAGAAGTAAAACACCCTTTTGCAATGTTTATCAATTGTTGAAAGTTACTTACGACTTCAAAATTATTTATTTTGAAGTTTTTTTTATGAATCTTATTTAATTCATAGATTACTGCTTTAAATGTTTTTACAGAATTAGAGAAATTGCGTGTAAAAACGAAAAAAAAAATCGTAAGTGCAAAACACGTTTTGTGTGGTTATAAATTGATATATTTTTTTTATTAAGAACCAATCATTTTGATAACTTGACGTCAGTTGTAGATAACGATTTAAAGAATATAGTTTTGATAATTACAACTTTGTTAGGCGATGAATTCACAAACATCGATAACACAAAGTTTAAAGGGTTAAAGACATAAACTTTGAATTTTTATCGACAATATTTGCACAATTTTCCATGAGACTGTATATTTTGCAGCTGTATACCTGTACCTTACGATTCTAAGCCATAGGTCTAATGTTTTTCTCTTTAATAAAAATTTAATTTACAACGGGACAGATTCTTTAAGAATTTTTCATAAGCACATCAAATTGGACACTGATTCAAATGTTTTATTTATATGTATATTATTATTCAGGGCCCAAATACTATCTATTTCTTTGGAATGCAGGTTTTATTTGCTAAAAGTAAAAGCAAACTGGAGTAAAAACTTTTAAAAATACTGATTTGTTTGTTTTTTCAAAGTGCAAACTTCTCCAAAACCTACGAGGGCGGGTGACCTTAAACGTAGAATTGACTTTGGAGAGCCTAATTATTATAACCGCGTGGACGTATAAGTAAATTAAAATTATTAATTTATGCAGTTTGCCTGTGTCACATAGAGAGACACAATACGCGATTAAGACAATTTCGCATATATTAGGTTAATGTATTACGTATAAGGAAAACAAGTCCTCTTTTGTAAGTGGAAAATGAGACTATCAGATCCTACAAGAAAGTTAATATTAAAGTTACTAAAAATCACACTGTTTCGAACATTTCAACCTGACCTATTTGTATTATTAAAATAGTAAAAGTCAAGATATTACTGCAACTACCAACTAGTCAATATACCTGAGCAAAAGTGACGTGTTTGATTAATACTACCTCATGTGTACCTGTGGAGAAAACAAAAAAATATTGCACATTTTCTTGACAGAAAAAAATCCACTTATTTTGAAAAAAAAGAAAACAAGAGACCCTACATGCCTACTTCTATGCTGTGCAATGATTGACGAAGGTTATTTAGTCCAAACTCGTTTAAATTCTTATAGTTAGGCCATATCTTTGAGGATTTAACCGCTCAATGTTTGGTGCCCGTATTCACCTGAATTTAACACTTCCTATTTGAATTCAAAGAATTGTACTTAAGCTTCCAATTTCCTTGCCAAAAATAAAAGCAAAATACAAAAGCACGTACATGTATCTGAATATAAAAATGATAAGAATATATTAATAGTAAATTGGATAATCATTACAGATTAGTCCTGTCTGAAAACCAACTGTTTAGTGAAAAATTCTAGAATCTTCAAGATTTTTACAATAAACACTTTTTTTAATGTGGCAAGATATACATTTACTGTGAATAACTAATGGCACCACCTTTTTTAAAAAAAATACCTTTATATACATGTACATTCACATGGACATTCTGGCCTGTTTGTTCATAATAGTTTTGTAAAAATGTGACAAAAACAGTAAACGCACGAATTTAAAAGCTTAATGAGGTTCTGTAGAACAAAGAGGAACATTCATGCCTTTCATGGAATTCAGTTCAAAATCAAATTGCAGAAATTAAGGTGGACAAAGAATCATGCAGACAACTAGACGTGTGGACACCCGATTTTTTTTCCGTTTGCAGAAGTAATGTACAATTTTTGGCCTTTTTTATTTCAATTTTTTTTTGTATTGCAGTTAATCTCGGAAAAAAGAAGAAAGAAAACAGAAGATTACGTTTTCTTATACTTTCCATCATTTCCTAGAAATGGTAAATAGAGGATATTCAATGTTTTGTAGTTGGATTTGGAATTTATTTCACTAGTGGGGCAGGATTTTTTGATTTATATTTTCACGAGTGTGGAAGCACGAGTGGAAATATTCACACAAAAAAAATCCTGTCTCACGAGTGAAATGAATTCCATATCCAACTACAAAAAATTGAATTTTGTGTTAATTACATTTTCATTTATTTTCCCTTTGCTTCTGTCTTTTCTTAACACAGTGTCGAGATTGAAAACATTCTAACATGGGTTTTAGCAACAATTGGGAAGAAATTGGCGGTTTTAGTCTCTATCAAGACGGTTTAGTTACTATCTCTATCTTATGACAGGCCAGAAATTATTTTTTACTTACTTTGATATCCTTCCACACTGCGAGAGAATATCACTTTGGTATCCTTTCACACTGTGAGGGAATATCGCTTTATATTTATTCAATAAATAAATCAAAATATTTCACTGTTGAAAATGTAATAAAAAGAATTATGCGTATAGTTGATGACAGAACCTATGATATATCAAATCGAACCTCCATACGAAATAAGACTTTGAATGGTATACATAGGCTTCCGGTTGGGGTTATATAATAAATGTAGGATAAAACCACAGACTTCCGAGTGTTCCATTCGAATGTCTCTGGTTTTATCCTACATTTATAACCCCAACCGGAAGCCTATGTATTCAAAGTCTTATTTTGTATGGAGGTAATTTTCGAGGAATAATTGAGTGGCTTACAATAAAGAGGCTCGATCAGAGATGTCTGAAACAATTTAATTGACAAGAAAATAGTCTTTCGAAGCGAACGATGTCATTTTACAGTAGGTTAATGATTGATATTTTAACAAAATACGAGTTTGAAGCGAGGGTGCCTGAAATTGAGTTAGGTACCTTATGGTAAAAATAAGTAAGGAGTGCCCCGTATACGAAACAAGTGCCTGTGTTTTATGTTATTAAAATTGATTGTTCAGGGCTGTTTTTTGGAGCATAGAAAACAATCATGAATTAGCATGACTATAACATTAAATAACATTAAAAACTAATGGTAATTATATAAAAACTAAATATTCAATGAAAGTAAATAGAAATTACGGGAACAGAATTATAGGAGGTAACACAGCTAAATTTTAGGTACTTGTTACATAATTACTATATATGAATAAGTTCCAAATAAGTAACTGTGTTTTCCTAAAATAAGTAGGAGGAAAACTCATTTTGCCTTATAAATGTATTTAAGTGTTTTTATTGAAAGTGAGTTTGTTTGTTTTTTCTTCATATGAGCACTAATTCTTTTTACAATTTTAGGTGATTCTAGTCATTTGAGAGATGAGAGTTTGAAGACTGAAATCAAAAGTGAACAAATACAAATGTTTCCTGGAAACAAAGTAATCGTTAAAAAGAGTGGGGCATACGTCATCTTCTTGGCAGTGACAAAAACTTCAATACGTCATGGCAATGTAAACATCAGTATCCATAGATACGGTGTGGAAGAACAAGTTATTTTGTCAGCATCCATTGAAAGCAAAAACGGCCAGTTGACGTATGATACCAAACAAATATCTGACGTGTTTTATCTGCAGAGCGGTGATTCTATTACAATTAAGATGAGGGGACAACAAACTTTGTACACGTTCAAGCAATCAAATTATTTTGGCATGTATAGAATTGATTCTGTTGTGAATTCGATATTCCAAACTGAATCATGAGAGAATTCAACTATTACATGTATAAAGCGTTCGGCTTTTAGTAGACTTTTTGCCATTTAATCTGTATAGTTACAATTGTCAGTTAATATATATATACAATATATACAACCGGGTTATATTGTTACCCCAATTTATACCGGTATTTTATGTGTTTATTTGTCTGCCAACGCATGCTAATTTTTGAGAATCAATTGAAAGTAAGATGTGACCTCGATCAAACAAAAACGATTATTTTGTACCAGAAGCCTGGCATTATTATCTTCTCTGTTTTATTTTTATACTATCAGGGAAAGACAGACCACTCATGATCATTTATAAAGGTCACGTGATTTATACGGTACAAATCGGACCTAACTGACACCCATGCAGTCCCAAAAAGCAGTTTCGTTGACCGCTGAAACCTCTGTAACTGTTTTCTTAAAATTTGGGACCACTCTGGACTGCTAAGCAGCTCCAGAACAGACCAAAAAGCAACCCAAGGCACTACTTTCTATAGCATAGGGTTGCTACTATTTATATGCTACATTTTATCTTAGTAGATGTGCTTACTTTATTGTGTTAGGTGGCGGTAAGTGCTCTTGTAGGGAACTCCAGTTTTATAAACCTTTTATGTTAAATTCATGGGAGCTTTTTTTCATATTTTTTCTTTGTTTGTAGATGATATAGATGGTTTCATCTTCACACTGTCAACGTTGCAATATCGATGATCTCAAAAACAAATACTAAGACTAGTATAAGAAATGGCTTATTTCAGAAGAATCAAAAATGACATTCAGGGCAATTAATTTCGTATGTGTGTATTTTCGTTTATTTCATGTAGAACTATTGATGAATGTTTATCTTTGTTTTAGTAAAACCACTACGTTGTAAATGATAGTAAATATACGATACATAAAAGAGTGAAAGATCATTTTGACTTAGAGCCCCAAAATTTTGTTTCTACATTAGAAGTAAGGTGCGTTATTTTATATTTTAACTAACCTTTAATAAATAGAGTGTTAGCTAAATTTAACATTTGATATACAGTTTTAGCATTGTGTTAGGTCATTTTGTAAATAAGATTTAACTTTGGACAAGTAAACCCTGGTATTTTTCCCTCAAGACTTTAAAATGTTTATCAGTTTGTTCTGTTACGGTAAAATTAGTATCGATCAATCATTCCTTTTAGGTCCTGTTTAAACTTTTTCAGTTTTAAGATTTCACAATATACATGAATGTATAGTCCCATACATAGTAAATATAGCATCAAGAAATGTATATTATTATTATTATTATTTTCAATATGATGTTTTAATTTGATAAGTTTTTCTTTATCTGAGGGTTATAAAGATAGATGCTGAAGATACTGTATTTTGTAATATAATAAATACATGTACATGTATGCAAAAATGTTTTATAATATATATATCATTATGCAAATGTATTCAAAACTTTAATGTATATACCAGCAAGTGTATTCTAAAGAGTTTTTCGACGTGCTGTAAAAATAGACAAGATATGTTAAATGTCAGTAATAAAAATATTTTCATACGTTGACTTCTGAATTAATGCTATGGCGGTTGTGAAACAAAAGGTATCAATTCTAAGAAATATATATTACCCTAAACTTTTGCACATAACAAGGCCCTGTTAATTTTTTTTTTAAAGTAAATTAAGAGTTTTTAAAAAGTACACGACAAAATATTTGTTTTGACCCAATATTATCTCCAAATTTTAACACTTTGATAAAATGAAGACCAAACGAATTAAAAAAAATCAGTAATTATTAACATTTACTTTCACAAATGTTGTTGCACAAATATTTATATTGTTATAACCAATATCGACAAAGCAACTTTTTACACACAGATTTTTTTTATTACCCGTGCAATATCTGAATGAAATGTATGGAGGTAACGAACAGTATTCAAGCTCAAAGTCCATTAAACAATATACAAATTTTGGAGCAGAGCAAACACGGACCTCTAAAACATCAGAGGTAGGATCAGGTGCCATGGAGGAGTGAGCATCCCCTGCCGACCGGTCACACCCGCCGTGTGCTCCTTGTCATGATCGGGAAATAACGGGGAAAAAACCGTCGACAATTCAGTATGTAAATAATGACCTAACAATATATAAGTATGAAAATCGTCAGTCAGCATTTGACTTAATGATAAACTATATTTGCTGACAAGGTCGTTGTATCGACCATAGAACTTCGAAATGACGACTTTTAAACGAAAATGCTGATGTTCTTGTTTCATCAACTTGTTTGTCAATAATTTACCTTGTTTTAGAAATTGTTCGTACGTAGAACATGCTCTTGCGTATCGAATCAACCGAGAGATATAAACCAGGTATGCAGGTGATGAAAGTATATTGCTGCATAAGTAAGGGAAGTTGATGTATATTCAGAATATGAATTGTGCATTCCAACTAGTGATGAATAAATAAAACGACTAGTTTTGACCGACTCGTGTATGTTTTAGCGTATTGTATTAAAAAGTTATGTTAAAGATAAATAACCAAAAAAATAAAATAAAATAAAATAAAATAAAAAGAATGGATTGATATGATATATATTTTTGACTGATTTTCAATGGGAATGACACAAATAGTAAATTCATAAAATATGAAGAAATCGTAGTTTTATTTGCTATTTAAATATGCGGCTAATTATACCATTTTCTTCATAAATCCATACAAATTTTTGCTCACATGACATTATTATTATCGATTAAATTTCCACATTTACTCTGGCAAACATACCATGTATATATGAACACAAATCTAAGATATACCGGTATTGCCGATTTCTGAAGAAAAAAAAAACGTGTTGGCAATGATAGAAGAAAGATAACTATTAGTAGCGATGATTGTGCACCATGAGTTGTCTGTTCAAAGTTTATCTTCAAATAAAACGTCGGCTTCTTATAATTTAGGTTTTGCAGTGGCGGATTTAAGGGGGGGGGGCGCACCCGGCGCCCCCCCCCCTAAAATTGTCAAAGTTAGCGTAAATCATAGTTTTTGTCGAGAAAATGTAAAAATGTCTACTTGGTAGACCTCATTTTTACCCTACAAAATCTCTAAAATCCAGGAGCTTCCGGGGGCTTCGCCTCCAGACCCCCTGCCTACTTACTGGGCCCCCTAACTTCAATTCCTGGATCCGTGCCTGTTTTGTTATGACATATCCATAGTTGGGGTTGCGATTTTGTTTTTTTGAAATTGCTTTTGACAAAGAAAATCAAATCTGATAATTAATGGCGAATGAGATCATGATTTCTTATCTCGGTATAATATTCAGACGTGGTGAAAATTTTAATTATTATTAAGAATTAATAAGCCAGAATTGAAATGAAATCATTCTCAGTATGTATGCGTAAAATCGTGATATGAATCACATCCTGGAGGTTGTGAAAGGGCTAAAATGGAGGACCAAAGATGCACTTTACTAGATAGAAAAAAGAAATGAATCGAGTTTTGATCGACTTAAAATTAATGTTATGTAAAGGCAATGGATAAAGAAAGATAACTGTAACGATGTCTGTGCACTCACAAGTTGTCTTACTAAAGTTTATCTGAGATTCGCTTGATTTTACTTTTTGTTTTTTAACATGTTTAAAACATTAACTGAAAAAGACATTCGTGATTTTTTCAGCTTGCTTTAGGCAAAGAAAAACCATATCTGATAATCAAAGGTGAATGAGATCATGACTTCTTACTTCTTATTACGATATCATTCAGAAATTGCGAAAATAATAATCCCCCCCCCCCCCTTAAAGAATAAAAGTATAATGCCAAAACTGAGATGATATTATTCTTGGTATGTAATGCGTAATTTCAGTTCGTTGTAATCGTGATTTAACAGAGCCTGACACATCAGTTTCACATTACCTAGGATGTTTACTAGAGAAAGAAACTGATGGATTGATGGTAAACTAACACCTAAACTTTATGATAAACGTAATGGCGTCTTATTTTCTTTTCTCAGCTTACCTTATTTATGTAGAAATATACTTTTATCTTAATATCTCTCAGTTGATTTGATACGAAGATCATGTTCTGTGTAAGAATAATTTCTAAACCGAGACAGGCTACTGACAAATACATGTACATGTAAGTTAATGTCACAAAGTTATCAACAATCTTGCTTTAAGTCTACAAACCCTTTGATGGACACAATGATTTTATTTGCAATAACAGACTGTAGTTGGTCGAGTGTTGGCTAATCTAATTATTACAAATTGTTCGATCTTTTTTTTTTTTCTCGACAGGGGATACTTACTTCTCCATGGGACCTAATCCCGCCTCTGATATCTTCAGAGGTCCATGTTTGATTTGCTCTCAATTTGTAATGTTTAATTGGACTTGGTAATTTCTGTTCCTCAACTTCACATTTCATTTCAGTTGAATCACTAGTACACCCTAGAGTTTGCAAAATTGAGGAGAAAAGATACACCTAAATTTGTGGATGAAACATCATTGAAATTAATTGTTTGTGAAGACATGTTATTTATTCTCAAGAATAACAATTGCTCTCGTTCTTTTAGTCAGGAGTATTGCTAACATAAATTAAAATGGCGCAATGGTTGTAAAGATATGAATAATATCGTAAATATCTGCCGAAAAAAGAAACTACTGATTTCTTAAAAATGATACTTACAATAAATTTTAAAAATGATCTCTGTATGGGATAAATGAAAAAGGTGAAAATAACGAAAAGTGATCGATGTCCAAAATAACCTACAAACAATACAAATATGTGAACAGGGCATAAAACACGGACCCCTGGAAATTCCAGACGTGGGATCAGGTGCCTACGAGGAGTCAGCATCCCCTGTCGGCCGGTTACACCTGCCGTGAGCCCTATGTATTGATCAGGTAGACGGAATTTAATCAGGTAGACGGAATACTCCGTAGTCAAGTTTAGTATGAAAACAAAGCACTAACAATTGGTATGAAATATGTCAATCAAAATACGACTGAGTGATAGATTATAATTGCTAACAAAGCCATTATAACGACCATAGAATTTACAAAATTCTGACTTTAAAGAGATTGTTGAAATTACTTTAACATCAACATATCTGTCAGTAGCGTGCCTCGGTTTAAAGATTGATCGTACTCGGAAAATGCTTTTGAAAATTTTTGAAAAATGATGAAATTTGGAGGCATGAACAACATATACAGATGATAGCGGAATATGACTACATAAATAAGGAAAGTTGGCGACGGAAAAACTGAAGTCATTCGTTTGTTATACAGTTTTGTTGTTTGTTGGTCCTTCATCGACGAGATATCTGAATGTCGAGTTGAAGGCCACAGCAAGTGTGTTCTTCTTCTCAGTTTTTGAATAAATTCTGCCTCATAGGAATATAAAAACAGGTCGTCTAATAAAGGAGCACAATCAGAACCCATCGAATTTCCAACAGTTTTTTGGAAGACCTGGTCTCAAAAGACTACCCAGATGTTGTCAATAAGAAACTCCAAGCATTTGCTTGACCCGGCAATGTATCTTTGTTTGTAAGGATTTTTTTGAAGTTTACGAATCCAGTATAGGTATGGTAGATCGAACTCCCCTTCGTTGACTGAAATGTTAAAAGTATATTAAACACTGAAATATGATTTAGAAGAATCCCATCCTTATAAAGTGAACTGTGAGTATAAGTTGGATTTCCAGATGTAGAATTAAGAATTTCTTCTGTAATTCTTTAATATATTCCTAAAACCCTTAATCCAGCTTATTAAGGTTTTCGCCTAACGATTGGGATAATCTTCGATAGAATTCACAATAAAATGAACTTTTGTCGCCAATTGAAAGATCGGGACTCCCTGTATTTAGGACATTTCAAAATGATTGCTTTTAGGTCGTCATTTTAACAATATTGAAATCACCAGTAATGACGTGTCCAGCGGGACTATAGTTGAAAGAAGAGGGAAGGCAAGAACACTTAATAAAGATTTTTCTTTAGATGTTCGAATTCAATATCTAGGAACTCTAAGGTTTGTTTATGATTGAAAAGTTTCCCTAACAAAAAAATACTATAGTTAACTATAATTAACTATAGTAAATCAAAGTGTCAAAGTTATCACTATAGGAAATCAAAGTTTTCAAAGTGATCACTATAGTGTCATAGTGATCACTACAGTAAATTAAAGTTTTCAAAGTGATCACTATAGTGTCATAGTGATCACTATAGTAAATCAAAGTTTTCAAAGTGATCGCTATAGTAAATCAAAGTTTTCACAGTTATCATTACAGTAAATCAAAGTGTCAAAGTTATCACTATTGTAAATCAAAGTGTCAAAGTTATCACTATAGTAAATCAAAGTTATCACTATAGTTAACTATAGTAAACTATAGTTAACTAAAGTATCTTTTTGTCAGGGTTAGAAGCAACAATTTGAAAATTTCTGTAGGTATATAATGAAGAGACATATAGGAATATACAGCTAACACTTTTTACCCAAACATGCTTTTTGAACTAATTGAATGCACATTTTGTAAATAAATATTTTGTTTAGAACTACACAAAGATGCAAACAAAAAATATGGAAAACATTGCAATTTTACTTAAGTTTTCATATTCATGATAGTGTTCATATTCATGATAGATAATTTTTCCTTTTACTACTGAGTTGCAACTTTTTTGCACAAATAACAACCTGAATGCAGTTAGCTATGTTATGAACTAAGTTTTCACTGTACTTTTTTTTGGATTTGAGCACTGTTCTCGCTAGAATGCTTTCCACTTAACTTTTAATTTATAAGTTGTAAGCATGTTAATTTAAAAGTTGTAAGCATGTTAATCTATAAGTTGTAAGCATGTTAATTTATAAGTTGTAAGCATGTTTGGAGTGAGGTTAGGTCCTTTATTTGCCTAAAATGTTTTCTTCGAATTTGAATCAGCCCTGTTCCAGGAAAACAAAAGCCTAGAAATTACATTTCGTTGGAGAAGAAATGATTTCTTGTGCTTTCTGAGTTATGGCATGCTGTAACATGATATACATGCAAGTTGTTTTGTGGGTATAATAAACAAGCAGACGTTACTAACGTACTTCAATATTTTCTGATCAGCACAAAAGAGTTTCTCAAACGCAATATATTTGCTATACTAACACAGCCAAGAAACAACCCCGATTAAAACTTAGTCTAAAGCAATTGAGGCAATTTCGGGGGGAGGGGGGTTATGAGGAATATGGTAAAATTATGTCAAATATTATGCTAAAAAATTATGCTAAATAAAAATACGTGGAAGATACTTCAAAGAGAATGGTATTCAATTCTATAAACTTTTTGTGAAGAGTAGTTCATAACATGACTATTTGCATTTAGGTTGTTACTCGTGAAAACAGGAGAACAACTAAGCACTACAGAGTAAATATAAATCATGAATACCAAAACTTTACTAAATTTGTTAAATTTATTATATAATTTCATTACATTATACAATACAGCATGACTTATTTTCGGGTTCATTGAAAAAATTCATTGAGTACACCTGGAGTTACGGTACAATGTTCCATCCTCAAGAATTCTGATCAAAGAATAGCCCTTTTTTTTTTTGGGGGGGGGGGGGGAGTTCAATTACTGGGCGATGGGGTCAAACATGGATACATTCATTCGTTCGAGAACAAAGTACAAATTGTTTGGACAGACTGTACGGACTTCTTGTTTTGAACAAAGACATTTGATATGGATATTTACTGAGCAATCTCATCATGATTTCAATGCAAGGAAACATGCATATTTCTAAATCAAACATCTCTTTTAAAATATCGGAGAGTTTACAAGAGATGGTTGATTTTGAAATATGCATGTTGTTCTTGTATTGAAATAAGATTGCTTCACAAATATCTATAAAATGTTAAAGCTTCAATAATAGGTTTAAAAAAAAATGTATACTAGTACCTCATATAGAGACTCCTAATAAAGTATCAAAATGAAATGAAAATCGCCCAGGAGTGCGACTACGATTGTGATTGATCGTTTAAATATAATATAAATGATGTGTTTCTTTGTCTTTTTATTTCAAAAGAAAATTATATAACTTTTAAACATTGTTCGTGTAATTTAATAATCAATTAACTGTAATTGTTGTATATTGTTAATCAAGGCCAATTGATTAGTTCACCTCACCTGTAGTAATTTTAATCCCCTTCTCCATTATCTATTCTGGCATCTTTTACCGAAGCAATTTCCACGAGTATAAAGAGTAACATAAGAGGCCTCAGATCCTACGGAGTGGTTAATAGATTTTTTGATTTGATATTAACCTTGGTCGACCGACCTACTATGAATTATCCACGGTTTTAATAAAGCCACATTTTTATGAATGAAATGAGACCGAAACTCCTAGGTCAACTCTGAATGGGCAGGTGAAGATTTGCAAGTTTTTAGTATCCCCGCCTATGACGTCACAAGCGAGGGAACTCGACTGTGAAGACAAATATAATCTCCCTCGCTTGGTATCCGTACTTCATTCATAATTTTTTTCGTTAACTTTCTCATAACCTTTAAACCCCCAGTTTCAATTCATTCATAAAATCAGTGAACAAAGCTCCTCCCCCCTCTGTTTGCAACCAATCACAGGCATCGAAACAAAGATTAAACGTAACTTGTTTTCATACATATACTGGGCAACTGTAAGTTTTCTAACATATGAAGAAGCTAAATTTCCGATTTATGAAGCAGTAACATATTTTGAAATCGGTTGTACCAATGAAATCTAATATCTTCGACATCGAATATGCAAGTTCCTTTGCTATGCAGGTAAGTCACTTCGCACTGAATTCTTCATCTGATTCATTTATTTTTTTTCTAAATTAAGATATAAAACTTTGTCATATTACACGGAAAGAGAACATTGGGAAAAGTTGCTAAAAGGTTTTAAATATTGCAAAAAACGTTTTAGGTTGGATATGACATGGAAAATGTAAAACAAACTAAAGAAAAGCACGTACATTGCCCACATTGCAAGTACAGTACAGATCGGAAGAACAACCTCAAACGGCATATTGTAACGATGCATCAGGATTCTTCCAAGATTTTAGAATGCTGTGATACTGTTTTCAAATCGAAAGCCCTGCTGCGTGAGCATGTACTATTAAACCACAGATCAGGATATATATGTAAAATTTGCAGGAGGAACTTTTGCCGGAAAGCTCTGCTCCGACGACATTTATCTGTCCATAATGGTCAGAAAGATTTTCGTTGTTCTATGTGTTCCTACGCAACTAGTCACAAAAGTAATTTAGAAAGGCACCAAAAAGTACACAATAGACCAGGTGAAGTCCCCGAGATCACAGAGAAAAAAGATTTTTCATATTTGAAAATAAATGATACGTTCCAAAAATCTTGTCCTCAGGGCAAAAATAATTCCAAACAACAGAGGCAAAGTCCTTTAGCAAGAAAAATGCACACCAAAATCGTAGCAAAATACCAATCCCTTTTTCATCGATGTGAAAGCTTTCTTCAAGAAAACAAACAAAACGAAAATGAAACACAAGCAAATATAAGCGATACATTTCATGATGACAGTATGAATCAAGTGAGGACAGAAACCATGGAACGTCAGAAAAATCCGAAAGAGCATTACTGTATTTACTATAAAACTTCAGTAAAAAGATTGTCGTGTATGCCTTATAAGTGTAGCTTATGCAATAATGTTTTTACTAGTCAGCGCCAAGAACAGGTGCATAGCTGTGTTCACATAAAAGACGACTTACCTGATGTCCCTATCATGTGTATGATTCTTAAAGGTATTGCGCCTGAAAATAAGTATCATTTATAAACCCTGTGATATGTGCCATGTTGCTGTTGGGATTTTGCTCGCATTGTAATCTACTTGAACAATTAAATATTTTTATCACTTCAAGGTATATATTTTTTTTCTCAATGGGAGTACGAAAATCACTTGTATTTAAGTGCATATTCGTTTGTATAAAACTGCAGTAGCAGGGAATTGCTATTCAATGTAATACTCACTGTAGTATATAATATATACGGGTGTGAACAGGTCACACAAAATACTCCTTTAGTTATGAATTTCAAATAAGTTACGGATATTCACTTAATTTCTTGAACATATTTCTGTTGTTTTACAAATGAAAAGAAAAAAATTGAGATAGCTTTAGCCTCCTTAGACTTTTTTGTCTCATTTGCTTAACTGTGAGTCGACTGCAGTTTGTAAACGTTTGAGTCCTATTTTTAACTTTCATCTACTCCTTGGTTCCAAAATATCTTTTTAGCAATGTAAATAGAAATAAATGGAAAATACACATGAATTTGTCTTTCTGCATTCCCTTACAAAAATATATTTACATATGAATAAATATATAACTATTACTGTCGTTCGGATACATTCATTACCCTAATAGACAACTTTCATTTACGCTGGTCAAAAAAACTTTGATTTATTATAATAAATACTGTGGAACTTTCATTTACTATTTATACTTTTATTTATTTTTTTTAGCTTTTTCGTAGCTATCTAGCAGGATGTAGCTGCTACAATCTTGAAAGCAGTCCTAGGTTGTTGTTTTCTTTTTAATTTCTCCGCTAATTTTGCAGAAATAAAACACAGTTGAGAAATTAATAAGATAGTGTACATTCCAAAAATATTCATTTATTTTACGTTTTTTTTTTTTCTGTTTTCGCAATTTAGATTCACATTTTACGACAAGGGGCAGTCCAAGCACGCTTTTGGTAAATCTTTATCAATACTTTATATTATCCCTGTCTTTACACTTGCACAGTAGAATGGAACTATACGTAAACAGATCAAAGCGACATCAGAACATATTGGCAGACAAACGAAACATTATTTTCTATTCTTTTGAAGTAGCAATTTTTAACTACTTTTTAAGAAGTAACATTTATCTATTTTTTTGTTGCGCAGAGCTCATTTAATGCATTAATGTAGTAAACATTGCGCTAAAATATCTTTTCCTCAATCTATATGGTGGATTTTAATATGATAAATACACTGAAAAATGAACAATATACTGAAAAGATGAAGTTATTACATTTTGAAAGTCTGTTTTATATCACACGTACAGTACATAGTATAGTTTTTGAAAAAAAAAAGGGCGGGGGGGGGGGGCAGGGGACGAAAGCTAAAACCATGCCTGGGATATCTTTGATAGATCAAAAAAAAACTTTTCGACAGGAAAAAAATCGGAATACATGAATATAGCAGGATTTAACGATACTACATCAAAACATCAAAAAGTGTGTGTGTGTGTGTGGGGGGGGGGGGGGGGGGCAACCGGCCTTTCTCATACTAAATTAAAAGTAAAAAAAAAAATGTGCGGAAAAAAGTGATTGGTGTTGAATTTTATGGAGTTTTTCACAATATTAAATCGCATTTCTACTGTTGTACTCCAAAATATTTGCTTTAATTGACCATGTTTCTTCGATTGATTGATTGATTGTATATTGTTTTACGTCCCATTCGAGAATTTTTCACTCATATAGAGACGTCACCATATACCGGTGAAGGGCTTCAAATTTTGACCTTTACTCGGCACTCAGGGCCATTGAGCAATGAGGGATCTTTATCGTGCCAACGCCTGCCGTGACACGGGGCCTCGGTTTTTAAGGTCTCATCCGAAAGACCCGCAACTTTCACTCCAAAGTGCCGAGCGCATGGCGAAGGAACAGTTGCTACCTATTTTTTATCGACTTAGGTCTGTCGCGGCCGAGATTCGAACTCACGACCTCCCGATCACGGAGCAAGCGCTCTACCGACTGAGCTACCGTGAACGGTCTGTTTCTTCGAAATTCATTTTATATCACGTTTTAAAGATTTTTAGAAGAATGCATAGAGCATTTATTTGACCCGTGCTAAACGTTTTATTAAAGTCACCTGGGATAACTAATTTAATTGTGATTTATAAAAGTAAAAGAATAAAAACGTATGGTTTCCTTAGAGGTAAAAAAGAAAAGATTTTTTTTCGATTAACTGTTCTTGATTGGATAAACCTTTTATGCTAACTTTCATAGTATTTTGAAAAATAATAATGCGTGCAATTTCTTGACTCATCATCAATGTAAACTTGGGTTTTGGATAGACTTTTGTAAAATATACTTTTTCCAATTTTGATGCTAGTAATTGTAAAGGACATCTTCCTCCATTACCCTGAGTAAAATAGTAATATAATACTTTAAGCTGACTTTGTCTTGCTTGGTTTCGTTTTGTTTCGATATTGGTTTCGTTTTGTTAGGTTTACCAAATCGAAACATTTTGTTAAAAATCATTCTGATTGTACACACAAGTACTCTGAAGTTAATTTTAAAAAGATGCTTGAGTTTCTGATTGATAATATCTATGTGGTTTGTGGAGACCAGGTCTTCTAACAATCTGTTGGAATTCCCATGGGTACCAATTGCGCCCCATTGATAGTAGACCTATTTTTGTATTCATATGAAGCAGAATTTATTCAAAATCTTATACATGAGAAACAAAAAATCTCTTGCTGTGGCCTTCAACTGGACATTTAGATATATCGACGATGTATTATCAATTAATAATAGTTATTTCCATTCATATGTCGACACGATATATCCTAGTGAGCTTGAAATATCCCCTACTACCCAAACTCCGTCATCATAAGCGGAAAACACGCCAGGTTACTCTCCCAATTATTTTTTTGATTTGTTTCTTGTTTGCTACACTTTGTAATGAACTTAAACATTGTTTTCTAATTATAATTACAAGCCCTAGCTGTCCTACCTAAAAATGATTAATCACACAAAAAAATTGTGAAGTCCGACATTTTTAGAAAACTAATTCGAATGTAAATTTGATATAGGAAGGGTGCAGACTTAAGTGTTAATTTCTGTGCTACTTCTCACAGAAAAAAAAAGAAAGTTGAAAAAGGAGCAAACAATTCCAGATTCTTTATCTTTGGTATTTTCTGTTCCTTTAATTGAAAGGAGTTGCGTTTTTTTTTTATTTCTACAAAATTGGGATTATCATTGTTTTGATCTTTAAATAAATTTTGTATTCTTACCTTCATATAAGGGAATTTATCAAAGTTTTTAGGCATTTTCTTGTGATTGGATCATTAATTGAGATTTGGGGAGAGAGAGAGTGGTAAATGTAATCAAGGATGCTGATTATAACTACTGAACATTTTTGCATATTTTGTGCATGATTTAATCAAATGTTAGAAGTGAGGGGTCCATACAATTTCTAATTTATTAATCGCTGTCAAACACTGCACTGGACAAGCAGAACAATTTTACGGTATATAAAACAAAAACTTCAAGAACATCCAAACCTGTTTTTGTTCTTCCTGATATATATATATATATATATATATATATATATATATATATATATATATATATATATATATATATATATATATATATATATATTCAAAAGTAGTTAAAAGATGATGTCACACAGTAAAAATAATCATACAGAAAAAGAAAATGCACAGTTTCCAAATTTCATTTAACACAAGCGCTTTCTGGATTTAACAATCCTTCTTCAGGTGTACATACTTTGAACTGATTTGTTTTGCTTGGTAACGTTAACGTTAGTTAGTTACCAAGCAAAACAAATCAGTTCAAAGTATGTACACCTGAAGAAGGATTGTTAAATCCAGAAAGCGCTTGTGTTAAATGAAATTTGGAAATTGTGCATTTTCTTTTTCTTTTATGATTATATATATATATATATATATATATATATATATATATATATATATATATATATATATATATATATATATATATATATATATATATATATATATATATATTAAGGATGTCAACGAGTACCCGGTTAACCGAATACTAAAAATGGTACTCGGTTACTCGGAAGTGTATTTTTTCTTATTTCAAAGTACATTTTTTTATCAACAACTTTTCAAAAAAAAACTTCAATATGCATACGGTAATTAGCGTGTCGTCATCTACACCTGTGAAACAACCGTTATCGCCTTTGGCTGTGTAGATACAGTAATTAGTGACCAATCACCTGGTACATAGCTGGTTTTACCTATTGTGGTCCTTAATTTTTGGATGGCTTTAATGATTGTTTTCAGTAAACATCGTTTAAGTATGGTCTATTATCTTAAAATCATTTTTAAATTATCTAATTAATATAAGCCAGCAAAATCGGACATGCATATAAATGCCGCTACACTCTTCAAAAGTGAAGAAATATTTAGAAATAACTAAAGATTAAAAAAATGTTGAAAGTCAATTTTCGTAATAAGTTTAGTGTATACGGGGGAACAACCAACATATGGAATAATTAGACAAGCGATCACAGCAACGTCCGTTCATTCCCTTTCGCTGGTCAAAACTGCGTAACAGATTGTCCTCCTTTTGCGTTGATGAAATAGATCCTAAACAAGAACTGTAAACATTTAATATATTTTTGATGTATTAATTTTGTCTTTTGTGTTTATTTTATAAATAAACTTAGTACCAAAAATCATTTCCCTTGGACTCGATTGTTTATATACATTTATAAACGTGATAAAAACAGCTTTGGGGTTTAACAGAGCTTAATGGGGCTCAAGAAAATTAACATTAACGGGGCTCAAGAAAATTAACACACTTGTATTTTCAATTTTACTGAGTACCCGGGTACTCGATCGGAAAAACATCCGAGTAACCGATTATCAAAAATTGACCGATTTGACATCCATAATATATATATATATATATATATATTTTAATTGCCATTATAGACTTCCTTTCGATAAATTTTATAAGTAGACATGCTATATATCCTATAAAAATATCAGCATTAATGACAGATGCCCTCTC